GGCTGGTTTCTTCTTATCCTTCACAAAGGCCCAAGGAAGTAATTAACATTTTCTGGTGATACTTTTATTACTCCAAATGTGTCATCACACAAAAATCATCTGCTGTGTGATTTTGTAAATGCACAAGTCTCAACACAATTCCAGCAAGAGATTTTATGTATTTATACAAACTCTTCCTTCTTGAGGGTAAAGATAGCAACCTGTGATCTGAATGGGAAAGCAGCCATATCTCAATAGTTTTGAATATGTTTTGTTCTGAGTGTCAACATGAATGTGTGAATAATATTCATGTTCCTATGTACAACTTAGATCCTAAGGAGAAACTGCAAAAGAGAAAAAAAGAAAAGGAATATTTGTTTTGGGAGAGAGAAATTATGTGGACTGGATGGAATATTCAAGACTCACAGGGAGTCAAGGAAAAAAATGTTCACTCCTTTGTGTATCATATATACAATGTTACTTGACATCTGCAGAGATCAATAAAGCCTTAAGAAATTGGGAGCTTAAATCATCACCCATTGTTACATATTGTGGAGGAAACAACTCCTCTAACAGAGGGTGGCACAGCTTTTAATTTAAAATAATCCAGGAGAAAATAAGACCTGATTGTTTCCAGATCCAGAATCCACAAATTACTGAACAGTTGTATGTAAGCTCCTTTTTCTTTGTCTAGGAAAGGGCCAATGATACCTACAGGTTAAGACTAATGAGGAATACTACTAGTTGTGCAAAAAAATTATTAGTCCATTTTTTGCAGCTAGCTTTATGCATATGGTATGAGACTGCTTTCAGTGATGCAGTGCTTAATTGTAATATGAAAATGAAAACAGGGAAAAAGGTCAATTTGTCCATCAGGAGCAATCTTGCAAAGGGTAAATTTGTTGTGAGGCTGAAGCTGTGGGACAACAGGCTGAAGCACAGCTTAGAAGGCACAAATTTGCCAGCAATCAAAACCCAAAGCAGCTCTTTACATTTCACAGCTCTGACATGGTAATCACTCACTCACCTAAACCCCTTTCCAAAAAGGACAGCATGGTCACTGGTTCTGATGTACAGCGGATCTGGCTGTTTTGTTGTACAATGGGGAATGCACTCCTGAAACATAAGTTTTTCAGGTAAAGGAAATTTAAGCTTCTGGGCAGCTTAAAGGGCACCTGCCTTCATTGCTTGATTGAGGAGTATACACCAATGTGGAGCACTGAGCCAAATGTGTAGTGCTGAAAGATTGATTTTGCTGAGTACATGCAGATGGTAAGACCAAATCACAGCTGTCTTTTAGTTCCACAGGTGAAAGCTATGTCAAGTTACTGCTCAGCACCCTTCTGCTTTGAGGACACAGCAGTAGCAGGGAAGATGTCCTTTGAACAAATACTTGCAAATTTCAGACTTTCAGACATATTACAGAGTAAGCACTTTCAGTACAGGGACTATCCTGTCCTGCAGTCACTGGCACTCAGTACACTGTCAGCACTTGGTCTATAAAGCAAATAAAGATGGAATTTTCAAAACTGCAAAAGGGAACCTGAGCTCCCCGCTTGTTAGATCTATAAACACCTGGGAATCCAGATCTCTGAGCTGGCTTTGCAAATCTCAGCATAAAATATAGAGGTGGTGCCTGAAAAGGCAGGCAGGTAGAATGGGTGCCAACGATCATGCTTTCACCCAAAGTAAACAAAATTACTTTCAGAAATTTCCCTCCATCTTAGGTAACCATAAGTCCTTCCTGTCTCTCAAGTAGCTTTTACATCATTATCATCATCAAAAGAAAATCTCAGTCATCACATGGTGCTGGGCCACTGGCAATCAAATCAATTCTGAGATAAACAGCCCTGTCTATGCCGTATGAGCTGAAGGTAAAAGAGCGTTTCCCTTAATTAGCTGAGCTGCCCTCACCGAGAGTACTCTGCTTCACAAGTCACACAGGACCAATACGTATTCTGTGGTGGGGAACAAAAGAAGCCAGATACACTCCAGTAAAGAGGTTACTCAGTGTAGGGACAGCAGAAGCCAACTCTTACATACTGTGTGCATGTACAACATGTTTGAAGAACTAAGATCATTTGTAACGCAGGATATGTTTCCCTGATTTCAGAGTGGGATGGTTATATAATTTAACAGAGGCCATATAAGTCAGCAACCAAATTGGAAAGATTCGCTATAGCCTGTCTTATCAGTGCACGTATTCCTCCCCTTCAAATTTAGTGTGCAGATGATGAAGTCAACAAAAATTTTGCGCACCTAAATATTGCAGGATTTTGTCTAACCTGAAGTCTTGTCCCTTCCATTTGCTCTTGTGAATCACACAGGAGATCCTAAACTTGGTGGCGCAAACCTTCAAGAAAAGACACTGAAACCTTTTCATTTAGATGATGTTCTGCGACTGACGCTCTCGGGCTATGTCAACTAATCTCTAGGAGGCGATGAAAGGCTTACTGGAAAATTTGTTTGAGGAAGTTTAAGATTCATCTCTGCCAACTCAAAGGGCTAAGGCTATAGCAGAACAGCCCTTGGAGAGCAGAAATTGTGGGCCCCTAGAATTTTCTTCTTCCTAATGACTCTCTGTGCTTCTTGCATGCTATAAAAAAAACATCCCTTTTTGCATTTCAGCTTCTCTATTTCTTTTGATCTGTACACATTTTTCATTGATGCTAATAGAGAATGACACTGATGGGGAATATTTTTGCAACAAGGGGAGCATAGAATTGTTATTCTGGCTAAAGCAAAAGCAATATGACTTAAGCAGAGTTTTAAAAAGACTTTACTCAAGGCTGTGTAATTGAACACAATATTAGGCTTTCTCTCTCTTTTTTTAATTTTCATTGAGATTATGTCCATATTTTATCCAGGTTATTGTATTCTTGTAAAATTATACTGCAACCCACTCCAGCACGTTAACAACAAAAGAAATTCTCTAGCTTATTATAAACATCTTTCAAGAAACCAGAAGCACATGTCCTCTGGAAATAATTTTGCTGGTATTTAGGTTATTACAAAAAATTTCCCAAAACACTAGAATTATTTTGTAATGTTCCCTTATACTCTTGCTTGTTCGCTTAGGTTTTCTAAAATATTCTTCTTGTGCCCTGTACCTTCCTTGGGTTGCACAAGGAAGTTGCAGAAGTCATCCAGAAATACAGCAATCTGAATCTGTCTTTGTAGTGACCGTTATCATGTGCCATCAGTGAGAAAAAGACCTAGTGTGGACACCAGCTGTGCAATAGCTCTAGAAGAAAAAAAAACCCTTAATCCTGCAGAGATTTGGCAGGATGATGGTTGGGTTTTGTTTGGGTTTTTTTCTCCCCAAAGCAGACTAAGAATTTGAAATCTGAGAATTTTTTGAAAACTAAAAAAAATTAGGAGTCAAGTTTGTTGCAAATCAATATAATGTTTCATTTAGATGAATTTATTACCATTTTGTATCTTTGTTGAAACTTCTTTTGCTTTAATTTGTTTAATTTTCTCACCGAAAAATCATTTTAAAGCAGAAAAAACTTTTTTTTTTTTATACTGATAATACTAAGCCATGGAGGTTTAACCACATTGTAAAGGGAGGCAAGAGAAACAGAAATGGAAAACAGCTCTGGGGAGTGTCCTGCTCAGCTGCTGAATGCAGCCTGATAGACTGACTTGGTTTTAGTTTACTTTACCCTTTATTGCATTTTATTGGTGGGTGAGTTCAGGTCTTGAAAATATTTTGGATAATTTTTCTTTGATTACTTTTTGATTTAAAACTAACGTCCATAGATCGTGGGTTTTCTGCAGGCTGCAGTGGGGTGAATATGAAAGGAAAAAGAGCAACATATGGAAACAGCTTCCAGACTCGAGTCCAACTGCAAGACATTAAACTGAGTCTGCTGACTGGCAGTGTGTGGGTCCTCAGTCACGCTAGTGAAAACAAAGCTGATTTCATTGTTTGAAAAGGCTTATTCCTGCTCACCTCTAAAGAGGTTGAACCTTGACTGGAGTTGCATAGGAAGAAGGGAAGAGACAACAGCTATTTGTTATCCTTGGATTTATTCCAGAAAGAAAAAGCATCTGGAAACAGATTTACCTCAAGTTCAGCATGTGTTGATGTGCTTTATTGACCTGCAGGAAGAGTCTGAGTGCTTTAGCTGATGAGGGCTTTTCCTAGGAGGGCTGATGACTGGTTTCTGATGTACCTGTGTGCCTTGGCACAGTGATTAATGTAGTGTGTGCATAGCAAAGGGTGGCTGTCATTCCCTGATGCCAAGTGCTCCCATTTGTGTCTTTGTAGTATTAACGTATCTTAACGTATCTTTGGCCTAACACAATTACCTACATGGTTTTATCATAGACTTAGTGAGCTCTACCTCTTCCACTACTGAAACCTGACCTTATTAAGCAGTGCCTGGGCAAGGAGCAATCCCTGCAGGACGAGGAGATGTGAACTTCATACCCAAGCAGCAATATTGCCTAAGTTTTTACCTGAGCTGTTCTGAAGTCACCAGGTATCCTGGGCTGTACTCTGACCATGCTTTAAAGGGCAGAGGTATTAACTGAAAATCAGTGGGAAAGTTCTGAAGTGTAGGCCCCACTTGAAAGTCAAAGTCATCATAGGGGCTTTTGGGTTATTCACATGGCTTAAATTTAGGCACATAAATTTTAACTTCATCTAAGTTAGGGAGTTGCTCACTCTGGGCTTTCTGTATTGCCAGAGAAGAAAGGATTCCCAGCAGGCAATTCAGAGCGTCTAGTCTGAATTAGTAGAAGCACTAGGCTCCTACTCTCACTCACCTCTCTTTCTCATGACTATATAGAAAGTCTGACTACCCTCTTTATAAAGGCAGCTGAAGTTAATTGTCTAAAACTCTATGACCCCTGGATATCTTGTTCAGGTATTGTTTTGTCATTATAGCAGAGAAGCACCACTCCATCTATTTGTTTTGTCTGGCATATATCTGTACGGGTTCAAACAGAAATTATCATGTGAGTCTTTTTTCCTTAGTATGAGCTATATACATACATCTTACACCTCCAATTCAGTTATTCCTGACTTACACCACAATAGGGTAGAATCAGGCTCCCCATTTCTGACTTGAAAAGTCTCAAAAGCAGTATGACCAGTACAGTTATAATACTGTCAGTAACTGGTATTTTTTCCAAAGCATCAGCTGCCAATGGAATGTGAGAATCACTAGCAGGTTTTATTTAAGAACAGGATACATTTGTAGACATGATGACTGCTAGAAAGGTGGAAAACATCATCCAGTGTAACCTAATGCTCAGTGTGGGAAAAAAAAAAAAAGCCAAGATCATTAATTACTTTTAAAAGTATTACTTAAAAAAAAATACTTGTACTATTGTTAAAGCCAATTTAGAATTTCTGAACCTAAAGTTCTGGCAACAATACAACCACTGTATTGAGAGAGAAGAATATGGAGAAACTAATATCATAGAAAATTACTTACCAGGATCAATTTTCTTTGAGGTTTCAAGAGCTTGGGCTTAGGAAAATTATTGGCTATTGGAGCTATAAAAATAAATATTAAGGGAACATTTTATATCATCATCATTCACTGACATTTTTAGTATATACATTAGCAGTTTATAAAATACAGATTAATAGCAGATTAGGAGCAAATACATGTATTCATACCAGAGTTTAACTGTATTTCAGGTAATATTTTACAATGAAGCATAGTTTACGGATTAGAAAAAAGAACCCCATAGGATTAACAAATATGACATGCAAAACATGCTGTTTGTGTGCAGAATCCAAAGCAACTATACCCCTTGAGAACTGGCCACTTGTGATCTAACCCACAGCAAACCTTCAGGTCTTTTCCCTCCTCTCTCCCAGTGTCTTGGCACTGGCAGTATAGCTCAGAAAGTACACCCTAGTGTTTGTGAGACTGACCCCAGAGGCAATCACAAATCTTCAAAAGTGAGGTCCCTGAGATCAACCCAAGAGGTTGATCATTATCTGCTCAGCTTGCTTGATTTCTCAAGTGACCTGAAATTCTAAGAGTGCAGTGTGCTGGCTTCTCTCAGTCTACCCCCAACATGAAATTTCATCCTGCCTGAATATTGTTATAGAGGTTCCTCTGCCTCTTCTGATTACTTAGCAACTAGCTTTTCAATAGTTAAAGCTGCAGGGAGGCAAAACCCTGGTCCCAGAAGCAGGCATGGACCATTTCTTCCCCCACTGATGGGAGCAAGCACAGGTCACATCCCACAGTGCTGTGCCACTATAATTGTGCTCAGGATTTGAAACACCTCTATGTCTCTGTTTTCATACCTTTTGCTGGGATGGCTGGTGGCTGCTCCAGATTCTCTTTTTCTTTCTTTTTCTTCACCTTCTTGGGCTGTAGAGGGGACATGCTTGTCACACTGGTAACTGTCTCCCCAGAGCTGCAAAGCAGAGGCCCATATGTAAGGGAAAAGTGAAGGCAATGCAGGGAAAGGCATTACAGTGAGTTCATGCAAACACATCACCTCCTACTTGTGAGAGTCACTGCCCACCAACTTGGATTTTGACCTGGGGATATACTGAAGAACTTCTTACAGGGGCTGGACATGCTCTGGGTCTTGCATTTTTTCAACCATACAAGCTGAGAAACTCAAGAGTGTGATCTGTCCTGGGGCAGAAAATGCAATGTCAAGCATAAACAAAAATCATTTTTAGCACCTATTCCTTAAAAACATGTATGGCCACTTGCTTCACCCAGGATGAGCTTGTACCTGACTGTCCTTGAGGGCCAGAGGTGCAAACAGGTTAGGTGACTTATAAAAGCTCACATGGGATTTTTACCCTTCACATCTCCAAAGCCTTAGATCATAAATCCTGCTTTGAATATTTAGGGTTTGGGTACACAGTCAGATTGCAGTCACTATCACTGTGTGTCAGCTGAGCTGTGGTTACTGTGCAGTGCTCCTAGCTTGCAACTAATGTGAAATAAAATTGTATTTTCTTAACAGCTAATGAAAGATAACTTGCAGCTGGGATGGGAGTGTATAGCACTTAGTTATGATTACCACAGTAGTGGAGGTGCCTTGGTAAGCAGCTGTTGCTCAAATGCATATGACCATACCTGGGACTCTGGGAAAAATTAAGGCAGTGTGCTTGTGGAGAGGTTTCTGTTCTGTGCTGGTGAGTTACACCACATAATGGGATCCAACCACTGTCTCCATAGTTATAACGCTGACAACACTGATTTCACTGAATCTTAAATAATTTGTCCCAGGTTGCTGTTCCTCTCCAGGTTCTTCTTCATAATGAAACATTCTCTTTATATTAATAGAATAAAATACTCAAACTGGGCCAAAACCTTAATGAAAGTTAAGATGTCTCAGCTATTGCCCACACAAGAATAACAAAATAACAGACATTATCATTTCACACATCCAAATGAATGCCCCTGCCATTGGTAAAATCACTCTGGATTTACACTTGTGTAGATTACAAAAAGACTCTGGTTTGCTGACTTTCCTGAGTTCTGTTCCATGTACTCAGTCCAAAACCTAGGTTTGCTGCCAAGCTTTATTTTTTAAAGTGTTTAAAAGGTAAAATATTTTCATGATGTATAAACAAATCACACCAGTTGTGTAAACTGAGGGTTGCATTAAAATAATTTCAAAGTCTGCCTGCACTGTTGTGAACCTATCCCACAACAACCATTTGTTTCTATATTAAAAACAAAACATGAAATGGTTCTAAACCAGCAGGAAATGAAGCTGTCCTGACTGGCTCCCTTTGCCCAAACATAGCAAACTGCAAAGAACAAAGAATGCCAAAAAGGGGACAAGAGTGCTTTTTTTAATGCTTTTGGTTTTAATAATCCAAGGTCATTAAGGCAGATGTGTAGCTTAAAGATACTATTATTCTGATACAGCTACTTTAAGCACAATACATGAAAAGACTTACTGTCAATTCATTGCATTGGTTATTCCTGCTTTGCCACTGAAAAAAAGTGAAGCTACAGAGAAATGTATTTGTGGCTTGCGCTTTTCTTTTAAATGCCAGGGCCATACAGGGTTAACTAATTCTGGGAGATACAATAACTGTACTTGCTGTCTTAGAACTGAGCTCCTCAAACTAAAGAAGGCTCAGAAAAGACTCCTTGGCTCCAAAACACTGCCTCTTTGTGAGCCTGTCTTGTTCTATTTCTAAAAGGAAAGTTAGTTTTTTATCTCCAGCTCCTCCTCCAGCCTCCTGGCTTCTATTTCAACAGTGTCACATTGTGCATTTCTTGTGGGATCTAATGAGATTTTTGAGAGCAAGAAAAACACATGAATTTGGGGGGAAAACCTGTGGAAGGTGTCTAACAATCATGGCACTGGGGCAGCATGTTCTCTGGAGGTCATGACTGTCCCAAGAGATGTCAAACTACTACAGTTTTGGGTTTACTATCCTTATTAGAGTCAAGGAAGTTGGACTTTTCCTGTTGTCATCTAAGTCAGCTATTTTCTCTTGTCAAAGGTCTGCAGAGGGATGACAAAAAATCCGCTTGAGTGAACTAGGAGCTGCTTTGGTATTTTCCAAAGAGGGAAGCTGTGTGAAAGGTGCCAGGGATGGACTAGGTACTCAGTTCTGGTTCAGTCTGCCAGAATTTGACCCTGCAGTGTTGGACTGGCAGTATGGAACCAGGACATCTGTATGGGCATATTTCTGGGTGAATACTTTTTTCACCTTGAGCTGTTTGTTTCCAGAAGAGCAGCCGCCGAAGGACTAGGGAGTTCAGGCCAAAAAAAATACAGAATACAAAATAGAAAAAAATAATGCCTATTTTCAAAGCTACACCTCCTGAGGCTGTCTGGGTTTGAAAACTGACCAAATGATCTAATAACAATGAACAAAATAAGAAGGACAATATTTAAAGGGAAAAAAAAAAAACACTCCGAAAATTGAATTACGTGGTTTGAAAACCAAAATAGCTATACTTTTTATTTAGGTATTTATTTTTAAAATGTGGGAAAGAAATGGGTTTAGGTTAAGTCTTTTTTATTTTTTTCTTAACTTGTTCTTGGTCAAGTAGCAAACCAAAACCCAAACATTTGCTTTATCCTGCCCAGGAAATCTGCATTTAATTTTCTTTTCTACCAAGGCCATTTTGTGAGACCTGGAGCAAGTCATTTAGCCCTTTATGTTTCAGATTCTAATAAAGGAAAAACACCATTATGATGTCAAGACAAAATATTCTAAGATGCTTAGGTATTACTGCAGTGGGAGTACAGACATTTCTTAGACACGAAACTATCAATGCAATTTTGAAACTGGATTCTGCTTTGAGTTTGAAATATCACTAAGGGAGTTGGAGCTGAGCCTCTCTAATCAAGGGTGAATTTTGCACAGCATAGTCATTTTGACTGACAGGAATCTCATACAAATGAGTTCATCAGTTTGGCCTAAGGGATATTTAGACACTGGAGTTTGGGTCTAAATGTGTGAATCAAGTTCCAAGACAAGGAATTCACAGGTGAAGAGAGATGAGTTCAAAGGAATTAATGGTTTGTGTTTTGAGCAGAGAGTATAAAATAAGTGGTATCAAGTGTGAAAAAATATGATACTGGTAAAAATTTCATAGCTGTTTAATTTGCAACCCTGAAGTCAATGAACTTTACACATGCACTTGTGGGAGTGGGGCTTTCATTAGCATATCTTGTCACACTTAAATGCATGAAACTGTATTTTTGTCCATATAGAGTTACGCATTTCTTGTGCTTCAAGGTATTCCATTGTACAGTGAAGAAATCAAGTTGGCTCATTTTCCCCCGATATTCAGCCATTAAAGTTTAGTGTTTGCAGTAGTATCACACATCTATTCCCAAAGAGTCAGATTCTATAGCACAAGCCCTTTTATCTGAATACCATGCTCCATAGTTTCAGTCATCTTTTCAGTCTGGTCTCATTTTTCTCCTTGTGTCCTCTACTGATTTTCTTTGATTTCCTCCCTCTTCCCCTTCCTTTTTTTTGTTTTTGGAATTCCAACTTTGTCCCAGCAGCTGATAGAGAAGAGGAAAAAAAAAAACACCCAGGGGAAAATGAAAACTGCTGAGCTGTCTGTAAATTTTTGGTATGGTGCAATGGCTGGTCAGGGTCACAGAACAAAGATCTTTCCATGAATAACATGAAAGTTTCAGTTTGTACTGGCCTTTCCTGAACTCTCTTTTATTGTGACTTTATTTACATCCGAGTGTCAGTTAGATTGAATACAAAGATAATCCCATGAGAATGCACTAAAAAATACACTATTTGAGGATGTAGAGTATGTTGTGCTTGACATTGAATCTCATAGAATCCTTCTAGATACTATCTGTATCTGTGATACCAAGTGATACTGGGTTTAAAGTGCAAGGCTAAAAACACATGTTTTATGTCACTGAAAACTGGGCAACAGCTGTTCTTCTGAGTTGTTATAAAGCATCCCTCTTTAATCTTTTTTATTTGTAAAATACTTCTGTCTTTTTTTTTTCCTTTACTGCATTCCCAGCACAATTTATATCTCAGGAAAATCATATGATGGAAATCAGTTTTATAGCACCACACAATCAAAAACTTGTGGATGTTGGTGCTATTTAAAGAGACAGGGATTAATGACTGAAGCAAAAGTAGAATTTTTTCCATCACTTGGAGTCTTCAACTGGGAATAGCCTGTGGGCCTTGAAAAACTGCTTTTGAACTCCAATCTCTTTTCCTGGGTGTGGGAATCACTGGGTAACACTGTGGTTTGTCCTATATACATGGATGGTTTAAGTCACTACGATCTAGTGAGGCATCAGGAAAGCCTGTCAAACCATACAGGATGAAAGCAGGCTTCTCCAGAAAGCAACTCAGAGCCTCAAGGAGAAGCTTGTCACTGAAGCACCTGCATGACCTACAACTAGATAGCCCAGATAGATCTCCCTTATCATGCACAGCAGATGTCGGCTTTCAGGCACGTTCATGAGTCATGGGCCTGGGATCTTCCTGTAAGCATTTTGGAAAATATCACTCATCTTCTTCAGCACAGATAGCAAAACAAAAACAAAATTGGTGCCTTGGGTTATAGCAAAGAGAAGTGCAATCGCCTACCTGTTCTGGGGGCATTTCACCAGGTAATGTTTCACTGTTAAAGGAAAGAAAAAAAGAAGGAAAATGTGGCTTCACACCAACACAGTTTATGAGTTACATGAGGCACTGCAGATAGACCTATGTTGCTGAGACTGCGGAGTTGCCAAGTTGTTACACTGGGAGAGCTTCTAATCATCACCATAAGTTATATTGTGCATTTAAAAACTGACTAAAACACATAGGCTTGGGAAAGAGGAATGTATCAAACAACAGCAAAAATCTGCTGTGGAAGTGCTGGGCAACACACATTCCAGTGGTCAGCCCAGCCAAAAGACAGCTTGGTAAGGACAAGCACAGCAGGCCAGTAATTTTACTTTGAAGACTTTTATTTCCCTTGTGGTGCCTCTATTTATTTCCAGAAGCCTGAAATAAACCATTCACCCACAGGAGCCACTACTGTTCCTAATGCAAGCTAGACTGTGGCCTCAGGCATAAAGGGATTGCCTCCTGGAATCAGATCAGAGGTCCAGTCCAGCCACTATCCTGTCCATAACAGCTGTGTGCGTGAGCTATATAAATCCTTCTGCTACACATTCCTTTGACTCAGTAGTCCTGAGTAAGGGCAGCTCCCCCCACTGCAGCCGCTCAGGAGCCACGGTTATTAAGATGTTCTTTGTAGCTTAGTGGCTTTTGTGCTCTGCCCAAGCTGTGCAGCATGCAGAGACATAAAGGCAGGAGAGGCTCTGGCTCTTCTGGTCAACCTACTGCCAACTTATTTCTTGGAAGGAAATGAGGGTGCATCCCTGGCCATGATACGAAGTTGGATACAACATAGACACCACTCTCCCTTTATGTTCTCCATTCTTTAAAAGGCCATGGAGACCAGACAATAGTGCACTACATGATCATGCCCCTCTCTACAGGAAAGTTTTCATATTTCGTCTTACCTCGATTCTTCCATTCTAAAGAACCTCCTAGGGGGTGTATTTTAGTTCTAAGGAAAGGGAGCTGAGAGCACTAGGAACTGGGGCTAACACAGAGACCAAGTCTAAGCTAGCTTCTATCTGGCAGTGCTTCCATCTGTCTGGCTGGCCTTTTAAAGATATACAGCAGAGGGGTAGGTCTGACCCTTCAGGAGTAAGGGGATGCTCATGCACACTGTTGACATGCTTCTATTGAGCATGTCTAGGTATGTATTATTTTGTTTTGCCCTGCACTAAATACTCCAAGCCTTTGAACCAGGGATTGGGAAGAGCAACCACTCCTGTAATAAATGGGCATAGGCTTCTACATAACCACAAAGGAGCTGCCAGCTGCAACCACTGCTGCTTCCCACAGAATCCCATAGCTAACCTGTGCCGTGAGCCAGCCCTAGCTGCATTGCCAATCCAGTCAAACCCAGCAACTTCCTTTGGTGAGGAACTGAGTTCAGTATTACCCTTCTCATGTCAGAGCCCTGAGGTGAGCCAGAATCTGCTCAGGTTTCACAGACAGACACTCCGGAGGGATTATTTCCAGCTTCCTCTATTGCAAATCTCAGCTTTTAGTTTGCTTATGAGTTGCTCTTTATCCCAGGCTGGGCTGTTCTTGTAGAGGGCTGGGCAGGGTTTTCCCTCCCTCTTCTCCCCTTACTTGTGTGTCTGCCTCCACTCCCTATACACAGTGCTAGGGCAGGGCAGTTCATCCTCTTTGTGGTGTTAGGGCTGAGGAACTGGGGAGAGGAAGTTGGAGTGTCAGGAGAGCTGAAGGGGCTGTTGATGTCTCTGTGACAGGGGTGGGGTGACTGAAGAGGTTCAGGGAGAAGCCCTGATGGAAATCTGCCCAGCAAGGTGAGGTAAGAAGATAGTTTTCATTGTCGTGGGCCCCTGACCTGGTCTCAAGAACAGAGCCAGGCATTTCTTGAGGGGCCTCAGAGGGGTGATGTGGCAAAAACCTCACTGAAGTGGAAGGCAGCTGTGCCTGTAGCCTGCCTGGAGGTTTGGGGTGATGCAGAGGGAGAATTGCATTGCTGTTCCTGTCTTTTCTCCTTTTCTCAGGGAAGGACGGACTTCATGATTTCACTGCAGGCTCTTTTCACATAAATACTAGCATCTGCCTAGTCCATCCCAGGATGGGCATACAGAGTGCTGAGGATGGAGAGGAAGTAAGATAACACTTTTTGAGGAGTGATGCTTTATTCTAACAGTCTGAATGAGAGAGTACTGCTGTTGGCTGGCAGGGGAGTATCATATGGTCAGACCCTAACCCCTGTAAGGCGTTTCTAGAGGATGTAGAGGAGTTTTGAGAGAGCAGGGAGCTCTTTGTGCCCTATGCCCATACGTCAGAGTGGAAACAGCACCTTCCAGGAACTGCTGCTCCCTGGGGCAGAAGCTCAGGGCTGAGCGTGCTAACCTGGCCCAGAGGCTGTGGGGAGAAAAAGCAATATGGGGCTGGTGGAGACTGTGTCTGTCACTGCTGCTTCTTCCACTGCTGCTTCAGAAATTTTAATTCCCTGATGCCTGACTGGATGCTGAGGCAATTAATGTGATTATGGAAAATACTCTGATCAGGTGGTCCTGGCTGACAGACTTGCATGAAAATCTTATCATTGTATCCTGAGTACCTGTCTGCTAAGCTTTATTCTGTCATATTTCCATTGAATCCATAAGTTTAATGTTGCCAGTGCTTATTGGAAAATGTTCAAAATCTAAATAAAAATTTGGTGAAGCCTGCAGTTATTCAGATATTAAAGTAGTGAAGAAAGGATCCAGCAGCTCAGAAGAAATTACTTTTTCTCTGTTGTATATGCTTATTCTGTATTATATTGTATATTAGTTCTATATTTAACTGGTATTGGTTCAATGTAAAGAGACCTCTTCTCCAAGTTGCTTCTATGCTTACAGTAATGTAAATCAGCAAAAACAGAGACGAAGTCTAGCCCAATGTTTGCCCAAGAAAAAAACAGGGTACATCAGCATGTCTACATCAGCATGTCTACTGCTTGGAGCTTCAGGGTGACTCACCATGACCAACGTACTTAAGTGTGGGTACTCCCTTGGCTCAAAACCAGGGAGAATAACGTTGATCTTGCTCCTTCCTCTTGTCAAGCAGAGCTGTTGGATTCAGTTAGAATCATTTACTCTACTGAGCGCACTACCGGGAAGACGGAGCCACAGCCTGAAATGTGTTTGTGGTCAGGCAAGGACTTCTTTGTATACATCTATTTTTTGATTGCATGTCTTCTGCCCTGTGTATCTGAGTCACTCATTCCTTCTTGGTATATGTGTGGTGCTGAAGAAGCAGTGAAGTCATGATTCTCTCCTGTCATTAACAGGACAAACCACTAACTCTTTTTGAAAGTTTCTGTGCAGAGATGGTCCTTACGCTCTCCTCTGTCATGGTGGCTGCTAAGTATGCTGGTATCTCAATGCCACAGCTTGTGTGAGGTCTCCAAATAAACCACTCTTAAATCAAAATGAAAGTAGAGCTTGCACCTGTTAGTCCACAGATCTGAAATAGCACTTTGGTTATAACAGGGCTGCTTTCATGTAGCCTCTTTGAGAAGCTCTCTCTGAGGAAGAAAATAATGAAACAGTAATCCTTGATCTTGAAAGATTATTAAGAAAAATCAGATCCAACTAATGAAAAGATGCTTTAGTTTCAAAGAATGTTACAAAAGAGGGAGGGCTAGTAACAACCATCCATATTTCCAAGAATATTGCCAGCTAGTCTGGAAAGGAGAATAAAACAGGACAGAATAAGACTGCTTTGAAACCCCTCTAAATATCTGCAGAAATGTCACTCATGAAAAATGTTAGCTAGGTCTGATCAGAATGCAATTTAATGATACAGCACTTTGTCTTCCTTGAAAGGAGTTCCAACAACCTTCAATCTATGTTTATGCAAAGCTGAAAGTTTTTAAAAGCCCAATGCAAATTTAAAATACCTTTGTTCTACTTTTGCTGGCAGAAACATTTTTTTTTTCTACGAAGTTTTTGTTGTTGTTTTTATTAAAATCAAGGCAAGGAGTTCCTGCTTTCCTGCTTTTCCTGCATTCTATTTCTACCCCCTCTACCTCTTTGGTAAAGGCCTTGAAGACAGCAAGAATGACATTTCACTCACCTGTGGACCTCCTCCTGTTCAGAAGTGACTGACAGAGAATGACAAATGTAAAAAGGAGGACGCTGATAATTCCTATTGAACACACAAACACTGCATACACGTACAGATCTGAAAGCCAAGCATAGATGTCAGTCACAGTTGCAGCTGTATGCTTCATGCTTACAGGATAGAAGTTACACCTACAATATCTAAATAGGCTCAAAAGATTTAGTGTAACTGTTCAAAGTAATTTGAGTCTCCTGAGACTTTCATATAGTATCCTGCTCAGTTTAAAATTTGGTTGGTGTTTCCATAAATGCAAAGAGGTGTGCTTAAAGTAAAGTAAGAGGGCTTTCATGAGGGAGGAAAGAAGTGCTGACTTGGCGGAGCTTTTTTCCTTTTATTTTCTTTCCCTTTTTTGTTTGTTTGATGGTTGGTTGGGTTTGTGTTGGTTTTGGTTTGTTTTGTACACCAACAAAAAACTAAAAGGAACTCAGCTGGATTATTTCCCAGTTAAAACAGCTGTACTTTTTAAAGCAAACAAACAAACCAAAAAACCCAACAAGCAAACGCAACAGGAAAAGTGCCAGTGGGGAGAGTACTGAGTGGCTGAGGAAGAAGAAGGAAGTCTGCCATTGCTTCTTCTGGTGGCAGCACTAGCTTGAAACTTTTGTGTATTCTTTTTTCTTTTTCAATCTACAGCCTCAGTCTCCCTTTATGGCTTTCATTTGGGTGCTGTAACACATTCCCAGTGGAGCTGACAGGAGTGGTACCATGGCAGATCAAGATGGAGTATTTTGTCAGAAGGAGAAGAAATCTTTAATGACTTATTTCTGCTTTTATTAGAACTCTAAGTAGAGTACTTTAAGGATGCTCTACCCATTAATGCCTTGAAATGTCCTAAGGGAGCTTTACTGGCTTCTTTCCTGCTTCACAAAGAGGAAACTAAGCCTCAAAGGTCAAGTGTTCTTGTAGAAAATAGCGTTGCTGGAACTAGACCCCTGACCTGCAGTTCTGTGCTTTGCTCCCCCTACACAGTACAACAATATAGTTTGTAAATTGTGGTTTAAACAGCAAGGCTGCCCATAGAATCAAGACCATCCTGCAAGCAAGCAATCCTGCCTGGCAGGCAGTGCAGTGGCTGCAAATGCTGTGCTGGTGCTTTGCTGATGTTCCAGATTGGGGTGGGAGGAGGAGAAGGGAATCCCAACTGTGTGCAAATTCTGGATTTCAGTCGCCTGGACAGAAAATACTGCTTGCCTTGAAAATCAAGGGAGCTTTAAGTTTCTCTTGTAGTGCAGAGCATGTTTAGTAAACAGTTTCTAAGGCTAGCAGGAGCATAGTGTGCTCAGTGCCTCTTCAGGCATGCTCAGCACCTTCCCGAATAAAGGTTTGCATTTGTGTTGTGTGATTAGCCAGGCATAGGTTATTTTCCCATTGACCATCACAAATGTATGAGAAACTGAATATATATGAGAATATATGAGAAACTGAAACTGGACCTTCCGTTCTCTTTTCTCCATCACCCCCTGTACCTTGTGGGATGCTTTCTCAGGCAAGGCCTGAGTTTGCACAGGAACTAGCAAAATTGATCCTGATTGAGGGATTTTATTTGTCCTGTAGCACTGAACTAAATTAACATCTTGTATAGAACCAGTAGCTGTTACAGACGCATCTTTACCTTCGAAAAACTTCCAAGCTTCATGTTTTTTCTTGAAAGTGGGATCATCAGCAGGTTTTGACGAAATCACTGGAAAAAAAATAAAAAATAAAAAAAAATCCATGACAAGAACTGAAATTGTATGGCAGAAAAAGTTGGGACCTCTTGAAGTAAATGTAGTTCTGCCGTAGACTTCAGTACACCATGATCTTGTTTTACCTCACAGGACATTTACCTTCCAATGAAACACTTCAGTTCTAAAACAGTGTTATAAAAATGTCTTCCAGTAGATCTCATCTGGCTTAGCACCCCCATGAGGGCTTCATTGCTTGATATTGCCTCCCTGTTGTCATCTTACCCATTTATACATGCAATGTGTGGCTCTTCAATAGAAAGTTAAATTCAGTGAAGAACAGCAAGAGAATAGAAATGCACTTTAGAAGAGCCTAGCCCTTAGAATAAGATGGCATGTTCTTGTAAGGTCTGGCTTTGTGGGAGTCTGAGTATCAGAGGGAAAAACCTGCCATTATGTATGCAGCTGGTTCTGTAGTTATTCCGGCTCTGTGTTCTAAGTTAGCCAGAAAGACTGCATGACCACAAGTTGTACCAGCTCACCTTTACAGCTTAGGAAAAGAGCTGACTGAATCACTATGTTCTAACCCAGTGAAGAGAGAAAACAGCTGCAGAGTTTGCACTGAATTCTCTCTGTTTCAGAAGGAGGAACAGACTACAGAGCTCTACAGACAGCAAATGGATGGATGTCGATATCATAACAGCTGTACAACCTAGCACTAGAATACAAATGGTCCGACTGCTGGATCACTGTTCAAAACGTTCTCTGCTCACCCCAGCCAGACTGTTTAAGAATGCTGACTTTTCTTGATGACATGAGATTAGATGATGTCTGTCATGTTAATCCATGATTTTTTCTTCTGCTAGCAACCACTGCAATGCAATAAGAGTCTAATGTTGTCCTCCATATTGCCAGTGAAGACTGAACATCCAAGAGATTTTCACATGGCAAAGCATTACAGAACAAGTATCCTACTGGAAAAGTAATCCATTAAGGTGTGCTCCATAGAGATGTAAGGTGTGGAGCTAACTCAATGGATATGGAACTGCTTTAGGGACTAATGAAATCTTCTGTTCAGTTGTGATGGGAAGCTCATCCTGAATATTAGCATATCTACTAATTTATTACAAGAAAGTATCACACATGTAGATTTTTGGCAAGTGTTTTAGAATAACTGCGCTGGGAAAAAAAAGGCTTTTGTTAATTCTTGGAAATAAAAAAAAATCTTGCCTTCCTGTATCTTCCAACACTTTTACCATTAGAAAATGCCACATGCAACTAACATTTAGTATAACTCAGACACTGTTCTGTGGGAAACTCTGACACATGAACTTCCCAACAAGACAGACTGTTGCTATCATCTCTATTTGTTTATGTTATCCATGCCAGTAGGATTGTAATTGGACTGCCTGATTTTCTGCATTTGTCCTCCTACTTGTAGTGTCTTCTCTTGAATTGTAAACCATTTGGAGCATGTATTGCTCTTCTTAAGAAATGTGCAGTACATTGCATAATGGGCTTGAGGGATTAGTAAACTGTAAATGATAGTTTGAAGGTGCTGCATATTGTTATGAACAGACTACTCACTATTTTGAGTTTTCTGATAGAAAGGCAGTGGGAGAACCATCTTTCTGATGTTTTTTTTTCCTCAAATATACGTGTTTTCTGGTGTATTTTTTGCTGTAATAAAGATCAGTAACTTGGTTTTAGACTAACATTAACCACACAAGTTCAGGAAAAGGACAGATGCCTTTGAGAAGAAGATGTGGGAAGGGGAAAAATTTGACCTTAACTTAGAAGGGAGATGTTGCATGGCTGGAGTAGAAGACACTTCTTGGCAACATCAGGACGTGGATTTCTCTTGGGTTTACTGCTAAGATTTAACAATAACCTTTTTAAAAATCCTACTTGATATCTTGTGTTCACTACACAGAAAAGGACAAACCAACAGTTCAAATTTCAGCTGGGCCTTCTGAAAATACTACAGAGTTGCTGTAGCTGACATGTGAGTCCATGAACAGAAGACTGTAAAGAGTCCATCCCCATCATATGAGGCTCCTTTTCTGAAGAAACGTATTCATAGCAGCCTTCCAATATCTGAAGGGGACATGCAAGAATCCCAGAGAGCGATTCTTCATCAGGAACTGTAGCGATAGGACAAGAAGTAATGTGTTTCAACTTAAACAGGGGAAGTTCAGGTTAGATATAACGGAGGAAGTCCTTCACTGTGAGAGTGCTGAGGCACTGGAATGGGTTGCCCAAAGAAGTGGTGAATGCTCCATCCCTGGCAGGGTTCAAGGCCAGGTTGGACAGAGCCTTGGGCGAGATGGTCTAGTGTGAGGTGTCCCTGTCCATGGCAGGGGGGTTGGAACTGGATGATCTTAAGGTCCTTTCCAACCGTAAACATTCTATGATTCTGCCCTGAAGGAGAAGCCAGGTATGTAGCTAAACTTTTAGCTGCCATCGTTGCACATTTAGAAGCTATCACCTGTAACTTAATTGTTTTTCCACAAGTCTGATATGTGTATCTGTATAAATTTATGTATTGCAAAAAAAAAAGTGTATTTGCAACTTCTTAATGGCCTGCATAAATTCACACCTGCAAACTTACTACCAAGTAACATCTGAATAAGTTAATAGTGGAATATATTATAGACCACACTACAGTCTGGTAAAGCATTTTGCTTTGTACAGTGCTGTGCTAGGTGGATGACAAAGGCTATGTACTGAACTGCTACAGGTTTTTTCTACTTCAAGATTCTGAAGAAGCCAAATGACCCTTTTCCATTCCCTCTGGAAATCTGTCTAGCACAGTCACCCCCTCTTTCTGTGTGAATAAGAACAGGGATATAAATGCTGTTTCTGCATCCATATGATACGCAAGGTTGTAAGAAATTTATCTGGTGCTTTAATGTAAAGATACTATTTTGAACTTGGGCATAACTGTGGACGCATTAACTGGAACAAAATATTAGACAAGACGGCAACCATAATGTGTGTGAACACTGTTCCCTTATTTGATAAAGCACAAGCAGTACAATTTTAGTATCAAAATGCTTCAGGCAATTTGTATTGCTCCTTTTGTTTCATCCTGGATCTAACTGTAATATAAGTAAATCCCTTTGCAATAAAAACTGTAACCAATCATAATATAAAATACAAAATGTGTTTGGAAGAAAATTTCCTTGAAAAGCCCAAGTGCTACCATTGGGGAAATTGGAGACTTTATCACCACTCTGGAAAGAGTTGCCTTCCCTCCCATGTGTAGCAAGTCCTGTACACTCACAGTGCATTAACAGAATGTTAGCTAAGGAGGTCCTTTGTTTGCAGTAAAGAGGCTTTTAGCAGTAAAACAGTTGCTATGGCATTTAAAGATATGTCATTTTTCAGATGTCTTTTAGTATCTTCAATCTGGATGTAGAATTAGAATAAATACTCCTTCTTGGGGGGCTGGGGTGGTGATGATGTCTGCCTCAGATCCCCACAGGGCTTATTGTTTCTGTGTTTAGTCTACAGGTGGGCCTGACTTCCTTCCTTGTCTCAGGATTCTGGCTCTGGTTTGGGTCATGTTTGAAGCATTGAGAAGCAGTACAGCTGACCAGTGTGGGAAAGATGAAATCATGAGCAACTTGGTGTAGCGGAAGGTGTCCCTGCCTGTGGCAGGGGCTTGGAACTAGATGGTTTTTAAGGTCCTTTCCAACCCAAACCTTTCTGTGTTTCTGAGTCTCCAATACCCACCCTGATTTTGTATTCATAAATCATACTAAAAATTGGGAGGGGGGGAAGGAATGGTCTTTAGGGGGTAGACTGAAAATTTACAGTTTCCCTTCTTTGCAGTAACTAAATTGATCTGGACTCACACTTTGACTATGAAGAAAAATGAGAGATTTCTATGTTTAGTTAATAGCCTGAGCAGCAAAGAAAGATGCAGAATGTTTTTTTGTGAGGAGGGGTATGACACGTGATCTCATGATATTTTATATTGCTTTTTCTTCTGCCATCCATGCTGGAGCATGTCCTTCCCCTTCCAAACACTCCTGACAAATCCATGTTTCCCTATAGGCATTTAAGAAAGTCCATCATTCAGTGAATGAGAACACTCTTTAAACTGCTGACCTGCCCCATGAAATGACATTATCATAGAAAAAATCTAAAAACTTGTCCATCTGATTTTCTCTCTTTTTTATTTTTTTCCTGTAAGCCTGCTTATTATTCTGCACCCTTTGGGCACATCTACTGGTCTATTTTGCAGGTTCTTCATGCAAGAAACACATTACTTGTTATCCATTGCATGTTTTAGTGTACTGCTCGTGGAGACAGCTACCTGGTCTGGTGCAACTTGAAACAGCACTCTCCTCCTTCACTGGTTCTCTCTGTCTCTTCACATCAGACCTGGCCTTCCCTTCCCTCAAGTTACCCTCAGAAATTCTTCTTCAAAGCACTGGAAAAAAAGCTTAGTCTATCCTCTGGAAGACTCTGGGATTGAACAATGGCCTCCTAGCCTTGCTTGTAGGCTTGCAAGCTTCAGCCTTGACCATCCATTCAAGGCACTGTTGAAAGTGGCCACATTTGGTAGCTACTTTCAGCTTCTCCTCCTCCCCTGACACAGCATTTGAACCACCTGTTCTTTGTAGGCTGAGATGAGAGCCTTGGCTTCCCTTCCCCACACCAGTCATCAGCTTTGCCCCTTCCCAAAGGTGGGAGGCTGAGGCAGTTGGGATGATCAGACCTCCTGGTTGCCAGTGTCTGAATCTCCCCTTTCAGTCAAATCTACAGGAATGAAAGAAGAGATCGGGAGAGGAGGAGAAGAGCCAGTTCCTAGCCAAGTGCAGGAACAACAGGGAAGAACAGCTGCTGAGCATGAGACAAACTATGCCTGAAGTCTGTAGGGCTAAATCATGCATGCAGTAAAGTTTCATTTCATGTCCCTGTGTGGTTACAAGACTAACCGCTGTGCCTTGGCTCCAGCCACTCAACATGGGGTCAGTGCTTATAAAACTTAATGCCCTCCAGAGATTAAGATGACTGAGTTCAGGAGATGTTTTCACTCTAGTGTTTTTACTCTTCCCTGTTTAAAAACAGAAGAGTGAAAACAGCAACAAAAATCAAAGAAACTGTTCTTTGAGCTGTGAAGCTAATGAACCCTGCGCTATGTTCAGGAGCCCCAGTTACTGATTACGATGTGGAAGGTCACTGGACAGAAAGATGGCAGCTCAAGAGCAATAATTACCTTTTTTACTTCTTACAGCTTTCCTTCAGTGAGGAAGTTCATACGGATCTTCTCTCCCTCCCCCCTCCCCCCAGACAATTTCACATTACTTGTACAACCTTAATATCTTTAAGACTGTCCTCTCAAAAATCAGCCCATGGATTCAGAATGGTGCAGACTAGTTGATAGTGTGATCATGTAGGCTTTGGTTTCTTCAGGAGATCAGGTTATGGATTACAGATGGCATTTGGCTGCAGGATTACATTTCTGACCCATGGTACTGATTGCCCTGGTGATTTTTATTTAGGAGCCTAATGTACTTTGGTGGAGTTTTCTTTTAAGTCCTGGTTCTGTAATCTTCTGTGCAAAAGAAGCGTGGCTGGGGGTCTGGGTGTTGAAGGGATAGGCATTTCCCTGGTGGAGACAGGTAAAGGGCTTGGGTTCCCATTTGGACTTGGGTCCTGCTTTGTTGTTATTTATATTTCTGACTGTCTACAGTCAGGAAGCAGAGGAAATCCAAAATGAATGTCATGGAGGTTTTCCAGACAAGTTTTGCATGCCCAATAAGACAAAATAGTTTAGACTAGGATTTTCTTGCTGTTGCTTAAAAAGGATCCATCATCTTTGCTACTAATCCAAACAGAACTTCAGCTTTGGATCATTAGTATCTTTCATCGTTGCTAGTAATAATCAGCTAATTAAATTATGTTAATGCCATGATTCCTCAAGGCATTTTTAAACATTTCTGGTCAACATGAAGCTGCTTTTTATCTCTTGTTATATTGTATTTTTCACATCTTTGCTCTCAAACTTCTGATAGATCAAAGTGAAAGTTTGTGGTACCCGAAAGCTACCCATCGGAGATAATACACTCAAAAATATTATTTTTTACTGTCACATTTCTCTCCCTGCTGTGTTTGTAATCCAAAAATAATACAAAAAACCTGAATGACACTTGTGAAGCTGGCATTGAGGGAATATGATTTAGATTAAGACTACATAAACATGTTCAAACCCATCTTGAAAAGGCCTGTAGTCAATAGAGTTCCCTCCGACCAAAACTGGTTTCAGAGGAAAGCTAGGGCCATTTTCACCAAAACACAACATAGATAAGTAGGATTAGGGTTTTCCAGCTGCAGGAACAACCTTTTGGATTCTAAACACAGCAACAAATTTAGCATGAACAGGAACGGCAGAAAGTTTGTGAAATACAGTTTCCTCCTACTAGTTTTTCTGTGATTGCTGGATGAGCTTCTTGAAATTCCAGACCCATGGACCAAGCACTCAACCTTGATTTTTGGCAATATCTTTACAGCTGACCCTGTGGTAAGCCAGCTTTTCTGTTTATAAAGCCACAATCAGGGGACTAGTTTGCCAGCTAGCCCTAACAGTACAACTGCTGAGCTCAACCACTTCTTCAAAGGCGTCTATTCTCTATGTCCAGTTTCGTACATCTCTGAATGTGTAGGTGTGGTGGTGTTATAGATTTGAGATAACCCATCCCAAAGAGGAAGCTTGTTTTCAACTTGGTTTAAACCCACACTTGTTGCTGGTCATTTCTTTATCTGAAGTTCAATGTCATCAGGCATTCACTGCTTTTCTAGCTGTGCTTTGTGGCTATAAGTAGTATAAACAAAAGTAAAAAAGTGATACTAGAAATGTTACTTGCCAAGTGCTGCTGGACTAGAACTGAAAGCAATGAAAACACCAAGAGAGATGCCAAACACAAATCTAAAATATAATGGTTCTATTTCTGTCTGACCCACTCACATTCTTCAGAAAATAAGTTAATTTCTCTCTGTTTCTCTTTCTTTGTATTTAAATAATAATAATGGCCTTCATTTATTCCCACTAGCAAAGTTGTAGAGACCTTGTATTGGGTCTGACTGAGGTGGAGTTCATTTTCTCCACAGCAACCCTCATAGTGCTGTACTTTGTATTGCTAGCTAACAAGGTGTTGATAACACACCAGTATTTTGCCACTGCTGATCAGTGCTCATAAAACATCAAGGCTGTCTCTCCAACATTGCCCCCTCACTAGTAGGATGAGGATGGGCAAGATCTTGGGAGGGGACATAGCTAAGACAGCTGATCCAAACCAACCAAAGTGATATTCCATACCGTGTGGAATCCGCTGAGCAACAAAGGCTAAAAAAAAGGAGGAGGGGGAATGGCATTCACTATCACAGTGTTTGTCTTCTGGAGCAACCACCACACCGATTGAAGCCCTGCTTCCCGGGAAGTGGCTGGACATCACCTGCTGATGGGAAGTAAAATACAATTTTTTTGTTTTCTTTTGCTTCTGCACATGACCTTTGCTTTTACTTCATTAAACTGCCTTTATCATGACGTACAAGGGTGTTTTCATCTCATTTTCTCCTCTCCCTGTCCTGCTGAGGAGAGGAGCAAAAGAGTGTGCAGCCAGAATCCAGCCAAGGTCAACCCACCACAAACCTGTAGTTGAATGCAAAGGAATTTTAATTACTGCTATTCTGGTAAAAGGCAAAGGAAATAGACTATCTTCTACAAATCTCTCAATCAGCCTTCTCACTTCTTTGCATTTTATTATGGGTTGAATAATGCTTAAATTGTAATGTGTAAGTAAAGAAGTTGAGCATTAGGTTTTCTTCTCATATCCTCTTACAACACTTAAAAATAACCTAACTTCAAATATCTTATGGATGAACTTGTAAGAAAATTTTAAAAGGCCTCATGGGACAAGAAAAATAATAAAATTGAAATCAGTAGTCTCTCACCTCTTATTTCAGTAGCTGCTGTGCCATTTGACCATGCTGTCCATTTATTCCTGTGTTTGCCAATTTCCTGGACTTTGCATATGTAATGTCCTTGATCTGTTTGCTGGAGACTTAGAATTAGAAATTTGTACATAGTTCCATGTTTCTCTTTAAGAAGATGAAGTCTTTGTTTGTGGAAATGATGAGTATAATTTCCATAATACTGGACAGACCCAAACTTTGTCATTTTGATCATCAGATACTCCTGAGTAGGTGACGCAGCAAAGACCCACCGCACAGCCAGCAAATTGTCTGTCTTTCTCTTTTGAGAAATGTGGCAGTAGAGGGTAGCATTATCTCCCTCAGAGTATCGCACTGTTGGTCCTGGAGAGACTGTCACATTTAAAGCCCCACAAACATCTGCAAAGGAGATAAAAGATGGTGAGAGCCCTCCATGCTGGCACAACAGCATCTGTCCCAGTGTGCAAGCCCACAGCAGGTAAACTGATGGCATCCATTCAGTATGCAGCAATTTAATGAGCTTTTAGAACCTGACATCATCTGTCTGTCTGTGAATATTTAACTTGGTACGAGGCCCTCCTTCAGTGAGTCTCCTCTAGTATCCTTGCTGTTGCTAATAAATAAGATGGGGCTGAAGTGGACACCTTGCTGCTCTCATAAGCCCAACATCACATAATCTTTTATCAGTCTGAACAAGTGTTAGTCTAGAACTATCTTGGAGTAAGAGCTAAGAATATCTTTTGCAAAACTGTTCCATGACCAGCTATTCCAACAATTTGCACCCTTCTTAGGATTTCCAGGCTAAATTGTTTCAATAGCCACCTTATGCCTATTTTTCCTGTCCCAACTTTAAGATTAGTGTTTTCTTCTCTAGCCCTTGCTTTCTGAGTCCTTATAGAAAGCAACTACCTGATGCCTCAGCCATTGCTTTGTTGAGCTGAAAAAGCAAAGCTCTGTTAGTCTCCTTTAGCGAAGTAGTGTCTTCACTTCCCTGTTCACCTTAATAGGCCTTCTCTGCATTAGGTCCTGTTTACATTTTGGTTTTGATTGTAATTATTTACATCTTTTTCTAATGTGTGTGACTGGAATTATAGGCAGTGTCTGGAAAGAAGCTCTCCAATGTACTGTGAAATAGTCATGGTACTTCCCAGATTTGTCTGGGATATACGTTGCCTGGTATATCCCAGAATTATGTTGTCCTTTTTCATGATATTTCCACATGTGATTATATGTCAGTTTAAAATTAAATAATAAACTTGAGTTTCTTTCCTTCTTTGTCAAATTCTTACTAATCTCGAAGTACATGACTTTGCTTTACTGTCCTGCTCCACTTTTGTTAATTGGTCCTCAGTTTTTCCTACATGCTATCCCAGTCTTATGCTGACTTTATAAGGTCACATAATTTCAATGTGCGTGCTTCTGTCTACTTCTTTTAGATATCATTTGTGCAAACCTTACATGATGCTGTTGAATAGATTATCTCTGAAAGATTTCTAATGTCCCTATATGACTGTAACCAGCTCCTCACTTTGCAGTTCTCCATGTCGTCTTCCTCTTATTATTAAATGGTCACCTCAAGCCTGGGTTAAATCTGTCAGATTAGTCCTTCTGACTACAAATTCAAATTAAACTGATGTCATTTGCATAACAAATTATGACATGAGATTATATTGGAACAAATGATTATTCCATTGTTCCATTTATTTCTGACACTTGTTTTTCTGTTCTTCATAATCAATTTAGCTTAAGCCACTTGTTTGTCTCTCTGCTTTACTCCTAACAACCAGTATAGGTGAAGGTTGAAAGAAGTCCATAGCTGATCATTACAGGAAAATTTTCTTTCCTGACCTAACTGATTTATGCTGGTCTGGTTTTCTGAGTCATGAGAATCAACACTCGTTTTATTTTCTTCCTAATGCACATTAATAATGTTCTTATTAGTCATATCAGAGACTGATCTTTTTTTTTACCAATGGTATATCGTGACAATGTGTTTCCTAAATGACTTGTAATGTGTAACCTACTGATCTGATGGCATCCACTAGAGAGAGCACCATATTTCAACAGTAAGCACGCTCTGCAATGCACCCTGCAAAGCATGAAATGTCCTCTAAAATGTGAATATTAAGCTGTATATATATATATATATACTGTATATATATATTATATATATATGTAGTTATATACTGTATATATATATACTGTATATGTAGTCTGTATATATATATATATACTGTATATATATATATATACAGTATATATATATATATAATTGCAAATCTGGGAGAATTATTTTTCATTTCTAGACACTTTTCTAGCACATCAGCTAGGAACATTTTAACAAAGGGGATGAGCGTTTTGGCAGTCTTTTGTCCAACATCAGCTCCTGAAACCCAAACGTATATTTATCTTCAAAATAAGCAAGTAAAGTATTTCCATGCTATTTCTGAAACAGTATTGGAGACAGAGACACTGTTTTTATGTTCCCAATGAAGCCATGAAATGGAGTGGTGAATTGTAGCACGTTACTTAAAGCAAATCCACTTAAATTAGTTACATTGCACGTGTTTGAGAAAAACTCTATGAAAATTAATAGTACAATAATTATTTTGGTTTCACTTCAAATACACAGAGTGGTATATTTTTTCCAAGTAGACAGTATTTTTTCTTTATGAAGGAGAAAATAAGTTGTATAAAGGAGGAGTTTCTAAATTGCTTTAAGAAACTGCTACTGAGCATGGCCTAGATTATTGATATAATTATTTGTGCATGATGCTTGTGTGGGCAACTCATGTAAGTGCTAAAGCAAGAGATTATTCTGGATTGTAGAAAGCACACAAGTAGAACAGGATGTTAAACTTAAAATTAAGTCTGAACACCACAAAAAGCTTTCCAGGCATGAAATTCGAGTTATTACTTGCTGAAGTTACCTGACCTTGGCGTTTTACAGGCAGATGTGAAGATGGCTGCCTCTGCCACCAAAATAAGATCAGATTTTGAAGGTTATGCTGCTCAGTAAATAAGTTTTAGATTTTCAGCACTTTTGGGGTTCTCATAAATACTTGGGCTGTAAATATTTAATAACTCAAAAATGCAGTTTGGGTAAATGAAAAACACAAACTTTTTCTACTGAAATTATGAACATATCGTGAAAAACTGTAAAGAAAAACAATTATGTCATTTTCCTGACATGCAAAATTCTTGTTTGAAAAAGCTGGCTAGGATTAACTGTGGAATAGATTCCCAAAATAAAAGGCCAAAGAATCATTGCTTAATTCAAAACTAAGCAGAACATAGTGCCAAAAAGTACCCAAGAGAAAATACAGAAGAACTCAGATATGGCGAAGATGGAAGCCTGTGCAAGAAGATAAAGAAGCATTGTACATGGAGTTTCTGATCCCTTTCTAGCTGTTTACACTCATACAAACATTAGTATTTTATACCTAAGGCTCCTTCTTTTCCTCTGGGGACATGCCTTTTTTCTAAGGAAATACCAAATTTTGCACGCTTCATGTTGTCTGATTAGTGGGAATACATCTCCTTGTCTTCCTTCTGCAGCTTCAGTTGGTGTGGCTGTACAAGTGGAGCAATGGGGAGAGTTTTGGAAATTTCCTGACTCTTTTACCGTGATCTCATCTTACGTTGAACAGTGTCAGGTGATGCTTTCTATAAAATAGAAAAACAGTGTCCATTTGACTCTATCCTCCCACTGCCTTTGGAGCAGGAACAGTGGTGGGTTTTGGAGGAAAGAGGTCATTTACATCTTATGTAGAAAGGAAAAGCTTCATTTAGGGCTCCCAAACACTACTGGCAATGTTCCTCTTGTCTTTAGCAGTCACTGGATCAGCCCCAGAATGAGGTTTACCCTTGTAATGGGCACCTTGCCAACAAGGAGACTCCTCCACAACTTAAGAGCAGGCTTGTGTGCCCAAAGAGCGCTAAATTTCTAGATTTCAGATTACTGCTTCAAGTGAGGAATCACTATTTTTCTTCTCCTGCCTTCCCAGTATAGCATCATGTAGCCACTCAGGTGGAGCTCACCACAAGTTTTGGTCTTGCTTTTGCTTAGAAAGGGAAATTATTTATAGAAAAAGTGAGAAGAGTGAGTCAAAGACTTCAGGATTCCTTTGCAGTGTGCTTAATCATTAAATACATCTCCTTTTGCAACCAGCTGTCTTAGTTGCCCCCATCCCAATGTTTTAGCTGTTTATTTCATCGGTACCCTTCACCTGCATGGCTCACTAACCTGTAGGGAATCAGGGAAGGTTATTGCTGGTTAAACCCTGTTTTGAAAAGTCATGTTCTGAAAGCAGCCCACTTCTGCTTGCAGCAGTTCAATTCCAAGTATTAGCTAGGTTTGACTTTGTTGTCTGCCATACTACATTGCAAAGCACTTTGACAGCACTGTCAAGAGCAACAAATTATACTTTTAGGAGCCAGAAACCTGTCACTGGTAGGGTTGCCCCCTCTCTCTGTGCTAGAATTGCAGCAAAGGACCCTCAGTCACTGCTGGGTCCTTGTGTTTGGTAAGTAGTTTCAGTGTGGCTGTGTTTTAGTGGAAGAACCCCAATTACATAAGTGGAGATAGAAGCAGAGTTGCTACTGTGCTCACAATCCAGATTTAGTGTTATGTATCAGCCCCTCTTCCTTCCCCCATGGAGTCTGACAGGCAGAATCTGCAACCCACCGTCCTTCAGGGCTGAGAGGACTTTTATCCTCAGCCTTTGGTGATAGCTGAGGGGCTAGAGGCATGCCATCTGGGTATCTCCGATCTGATCTCAGATGTGCACGACCAGAAGCATATGGGATGGCTTTCATCTGTGTTGTAGTTTGTTCTGTGAAACAATGTTACTATCAAAGGCTGCTTTATTTTGACTCCTCTACAATTAAAAAGTAAGAAGAGCAGGTGAGCCAGGAGGAAGCAAAGTTCTATGAAAATAGGAGCTGGCTAGCAGGATCAACAACAGCAGCCAGCTGGTTTTAGCTGAGCTGATCTGTCTGCAAGTTTCACAAGCCTGAGGCTCCTTCTCAGGGAAAGCTTCTGTACTGACTAAAGATGGGCTTGACCCAAACCTCTGCCTCCACCATCTCCTGCCTTTTTGAGGTGAAGATTCAAGCTGAATCTTGGAACTCTTGAATAAGCAGGGCTTCCTAATTCCTGTAACCCTCACTGCACCTTGAAGTTCAGATCCAGCCTCTGTGCCTCTGTTGCAGTTTTAGACACAACACTGGCCAATGCACCTTTGATTTTGGAGGGATAAAGGACTTGAACGAAGAAAGTTTTTTACAAGTGACCTACAGGTTCTGTTTCGCTGGGTGTCTATGGGACCTAGGCACCTGTGGAAAAAAAACAACGCCGAATCTGTCTTTGCCTCAGCTTTGCCTGCAGTGCCCCGGTGCAGCTCAGCGTTGTCCCGCCTGGCACAGCAGGCAGCGGAGAACGCGTTTCCATAAACTTCTGACGGGAAAGGTTTTCTTTTCTAAGTCCACAGTTGCGGGTCAGGTCGCTGTGCAGAAACGCTGCCGCCGGGAGCCCGGGAAGGGGCGGCACAGCTGGGTGCGGGATCCCCCGGGCCGGGGGGATGACCCGCCGGCTGCAGGGGACTGCCGGGCTTCCCCGAACACCCCTGTAAGCCCCCTCTCCTGGAGCCCAAGCTCCGGGCGCTGCCGCTGCTCGGGGCCGCTGCGCCAGCCCCGCTGCCGTGGGAGCCCAGACACAGCTCCAAGGCACGAAGGGGACGGCGGCAGCCCGCGTTTGAGGGGTCTGCCCGGTACCGGCCGCTGAGCGCCCGCGGTGCCGCTTACCTGGGGCCGGGGCCGAGGCCAGCAGGGCGGCCAGCGCCGCTGCCAGAAGGCGCATGGCGCGCGGGGCGCCGGGTCCGGTCCCGTCCCGTTCCTCTGTGCGAGCTGCCTCACTTCTCTGCTTCCCGGCCTCTCGCCTCCTACCCGCCCGGTCCTCCCTCCTCTCTGTGCATTTCATCTCCTCCCCTTTCTCCTCCTTTTTTTCTGCTTTCTTCCTTCCCTCCCTACTTCTCTGCTCTTCCCACCGTCCTGCCCCCCCCCCCCCCCCCCCATTCAGCTCTGCTCCTGTTTTTCTCGAATTCTTTCCCTTTATTTTCTCCCCACTGAGCTCAGGCCTGTGGGGTGGCACTAGGGCTAGATAGGGTTGTGACCCCTTCCCCGTGCACGCACCCTCTGCCTAAGGACACGGATCTGTGCATATGGTAAGTGGGAAGCTCCCCTCTCTGAGCCCAGAAAGCCTCTTCGCAAGAAGGTGAGAGGCGGGCAATTAGGGGTTGTGGGGCAGGGTGGTGGGGTGGGAAAGGCTGTTATGCATCTTTTCTGCTTTCCTGGAGGTGTTTGAAACTCTGCAGGCCCTCATGCCCATTCCCCATTCCTTAACTGGAACAGCACCACCATTTCTAAGCATTTTTAGTTAATGCTGTCCCGCTTTCCATGAGCTCTCTTGGTGGCAGCATGGGAGCAAGGAGGTCTGGTGGGCAGAAATGGCCCATCAGCAGGCATGGGTATGGATGCTGTAGGCTGTTTGGACATGTGTACCAGGACATTACACACAAAAAAAGTCCTAAATTAACTGATGTTAACATCTTAAAGTGCATCACCCCAAGGTTACTGTGCTTATTTAGCCAAATGGGTACACATTTCTAGGCCAGAAAGGACAAGAGATGTTGCCACCTGGCAGTCTACTCCTGCCCGTTCCCTTTGCTCCTTTTGAAAGTATTTGTGACTTGAAAGCCCACAAATCTCCAGAGACATAGACTTAATCCTTCCACTAGCAGATATGATGGGCTATGACTGATTTTAGTGTTCACATTTTGTGAAGTGGGGATGATACAAACACTTTGACACTCCTGCTTCCCAGGGCAGGGCAAGCAGGACCGATATAGCTACCCCACCCCTCTCCTAATAATCAGGCAGGGTAATACATGTCTGCTTTTAAGCATCATGGAAAATTTAGGGTGTGTTTCATAAGATACTTATGAGACTGAACACTACCTTTAACATAATGCAATTCATTTACTTCATTTTTGTGTCTGTACAGCAAACACTCCTTGCAAGAGAATGGCAGGTCTGGATTATGAAGAGAACAACCAGCAGACCTGAAGAAACAGAGGGAGTTGTTAAAAGTTGTACTGCCTGGGGAGCTAATTAAGATTTGTAGATTCAGCTCTACCATAGTAAAAGGAAATCCTAACAGAGAAATAAGCTAATTCAAAAAGAAACAGAAAAATTCACAAAAGATCAACCAGCAATTATTTACTTTGATGGTCCTGATGAGAGCTCCATCTCAGGAAGTCATTGGACTGCCAATTGAGAGGGAAACCGGGGATAACTGATTTTGCATGCTCTTTTCCAAAGCATTTTCAGCTTGCCATTGTTGAAGAAACATATTAGTCTGGATAGACATTTTAGACCTCATATAACTTTGCTAGGTTCAGTCATGCCTTACTCTATGTCTCATAAATTCCTTCAGTCTACTAATCTTTTAATGGTGTGTACAAAATACTGATGTAAAGATATCAATAAGAACTGCCTAAACTCTCTTGTGAGTGCCTGGACAGAGCTTAAATATGCACTGTTAGAATCAGTACCTGTGTTTGTCATTGTTTATCAACCATCCCAGTTACCAATGGCACCAGCAGTTCTTTTAACTGCATCAAGAACCCAAATGAGCTTTGTGGAAGCTAGATGGATCACCTGGTGAGAAGGCTTCATATGATGTATTTGCATGTGATAGAAGATAAGTAGAAAGTCAGAGACACAACTGGGCATCTCTAGTCTCAAATGTTTGCCAGATTACTGAAAATATAGTCTTTCTGGTTTGTAACTTGTAATCTCTGTACCTTTCACATTTCCCTGTGTGTTGTGGGTTCTCTCTTTTGTGTACAATTATTTAGTTCATTTCTCCCCTATTGAAAGATCTTCATTAACATAATAACATGAGAAGCATTCCTTATTTTTAAAGGGACATTTCTTTTAAATTTCAGAATGTGCTTTTAAAAGTGGTTTAGGTTGCAAGTCTTCTACTTCCCATTGCATAAATAAGCTCTGATGATTCTGCCCTTTTAGGTTTTTTACCAAGGGAGAGTTATTTGCATAGCAAAAAAAAAACTCTCTTGCCCCTGAAATGTACCACTAGCAGCATTCATTAGGCCTCCCAGCACCTAACATAAATAAATAAATACACATTTTGCCAATCTCTTGGAATATACTCATGGGCCAGACAGCACTAGTCAGGTTGGTGAGCTGTGGGGAAACAGGCTGCTGGCCATCTTCTCAGATTTGCTGCTGACTTGTTGGATATCTTACACAAGTCGGTTCCAACCTCTGGGCTGCAGCTGAGTGATCTGTAGCCTTCTATTGTGCTGGATTGGAAGGGTTTGCTAATGGAGCTGAGGCAACCTGCACAAAAGGTTCAGTTATGTGGTTTTCATTATTTCACTGTTAAAATCTTTCACCCCTTCAACCCCTTTGTAGCAGCTGAGACATTTCTGCTTTTGTAAAATGTTGAAGTTTGTTGCATTCTTACCTGATACCATCACAGTTTATCCATACACCAAAAATTCCAAAGGCTAAATGCAGTACAATTCCCTTTATCTCTTTCACCCACAGGTCAGACACACAGCTCTGTAAGCCAGCAGATGTCCCTTAGCCTCTCTGGAAGTGTGCTGACGCACATGAGAGGAGCCTCTGACCCCAGGATATGGCTTTCTCAGCTTTGGCAGCACCTTTGTGGCCTCGTTTCCTGCCGGAATGGGTCTGTTCTGATGAGGAAAAGTGCCTAATCAGCACTCCAGTGCAGCTGACACAGCTCAGACTGCCTGTTGGCTCAGAGCTTGGAGCCCCTTGCTCCCTGGGGCAGTGTTACTGAAGTCATTAGCCTCAGTCGCTCTCAGTGAGACCTGATGTGCAAATCCCCTTTGCCTCTCTGCAAAGTCACATCTATCAGGAGAGTTAACCACAGCCTCTTGGCTTGTGCTGTCCCATCCTCCCCCCTGGCTGCTATTCTTAACTTGCCTTCTTCTACTGGAAGGTCTTACTAGTGTCCCCAAATCTGTCTCCTGCAGGGTTCCTGTGACCACAATAATGGCTTTCCCTTAGAGCAACATTGCACTGCAGCAGAAGGATACAGTAGTATTCATTGCAACTCACACAGGGCTGCTTTGGCTGTGCTCTGGCCCTGGGGAAAATGTCTCCACAACACTGCAAATCTCACCGTGTGTAGGTGGATTGGTGTGGGTTGATCACCTGCTTTCATACCTGATGTATTGTTAAGGAGAGTTATGCTTCTTCTGGGTGATGTATGGGAGCTTGCTATGCACCTGCAACAATAAAGTGCCTCTCTGAACTTCTCTGAACTTTACCTGGACTGATCAGCACAGCTTCAGCTTACCATCCTCCCACACTTCAGATGGTACCTGCCTGCCTGAATCTTATCAGGGCGACATGAATTATGGCCAGGTCTGCTTCAGAATCCAGCAGCTGGTAGCTCCTATGATCCAAGGAATCTGAATTACAAATAAATGTTCAGTGATTAGAGATGGATAAAATCCAAGCCAGTTCCATGTTGCCAAGCATGGAGGGAATTTGGATCTGTATCCAAACTTTTCCATCCCTTTGATGAGCAAAATCAACTACAAACCGTAACAGTGCAGAACTTGTGTTTTAGGATTAAAAACTGTACCCTGCTATTTTTCCATGGCTATTCTGTGGACTGATACATAGGAAATGTTGTCTTGTGGATCCAGCTCCATGCTAGTGGGAAAGAAGACACTGTGTAAATCTTCCAAAATGTAAGCATCATGGGTTTTAGCTCTCTGAATATCATGTAACATTTACACTGTTTGGGGCTCAGATGCTGGTTTACTTGTTGCCATTTGTTTCTGACTGATTGGCAAGTTGACAGGTAGGGTGATGTTGTTACTGAAGATATCCTTTTCACCAGTGTAAGCTGTTCTTCCTCCATTCTCTTTTCCTTTTTCTTTCAGGGTTACGAAAGATATTGATATATCTGGGAGGACCTGATGTTTCATGTAGTGCAGCCATACTTTCCTGGGTAGGTGAAATCCTTATTATTGATGCTGTAACGTTATTTTTCCATTTTCTCTTTCTTCAAATCAGAGTGTATTTTTTGGTTTGGGAAACATGCTTTTGTTACTACTTTTATGAATATGTTTGGGACTACATAAAAGCACATGGGATTTATGATGTTTTTCTTAGCTCTTGCTTCAAGTTTGATCATTCCAGTTTGCAGGGCACTGCTAATCCTCAGGAAAAAAAAAAAAAAAAAACAAACAAAAAAGAGATTTGTGGATATTTTGCAAGAGTGTCATGTGTACTTTCTGGGTTATTAGGTTTGTGCAAGAGTTGAAACCTCATTAAGTCTTACTCTGTGCTCTTCACACAGCCTTTGCTGGCATCGTATTTAAAACATCATGGCCATAATTGCCTCTGGATCTTCAGTCTAAGAGATACCCCGCTGCCTGCTTGTCAACAGGAGATGTAAGAATGACTCTACTGGGAAAGAGCAATGATCCACCTAGCTCAGTGCCCTGTTTCTGGCAGTAGCCTATAGCACGTACTTAAAGTGTTGTATGGGCAGGGCAAACACAGTACCTCAATACTGTGGTATTCTGTTTGCCACAATACCACAGGAGACTTCCAGCTTCTTATGGTTTGCAGCACTCGCTATCTCAGCAAGACGTTGCATCTCAGACCATTATTGATCAGACCCAACCACATTACATGGTCCTTTGTCACTTCATTCTGGGCTGAAGGGACAGAAGTTTTCTGGTGTACCCCTCCTCCCTCGTTAGAGTGGCTCCATGGTTCTCACAGTATTAGGTATGGCCCTGATAGGAATAAAGCTTAGTGAT